TTAAAGTATCAATAATCTAGACCAACTAGATATAAATGACTTAATGTGAAACAACCTTGCTCTAGCATGGACTTTAGTATGTTAAGTCATTACAGAAAACGGTCCAGCCTCTAACGTGTCTGTCTTTTCCTTGGACTTGCAGACTCTCACCTTTGGTGATGTGGTTGCTGTTCGCCACTATGAGAAAGCGTAGAGTTTACCTGACCTCTGTCCAGATGTTACTTCTGCTGGATGGATTAATGTACCGTCCATAATCAAACGTAGCTAAAATGCACATTTCTGGCATGAAAGGTTAATAAAGAGTTTTGGGGGGGTGTTTTTTAAAAAAAACTTTACGCCATCAAATTGGCAAGCTTGTGCTGTATAGTGAAACAGGTTAAACTTGGCATTAAATTTCTGAAAAACTTGCCTCTCTTTTTTTACAATAAATGGAACATATTTGAATTGTTTTGGAATGCAGATCGAACAAATTAAAAAGTTTTTTAAACCTGTGCTTCTTTTTCATTTAATTGGCTAATATTCCAGTGTTCTGGAGGGAGTTGTCGAAAGTTCCTTTTTCTGAGTTAAACAGCAGAAAAGCACATGGTACATAATGCTGCAGCAGCCTCTCTGTGTGATGAGTGAGAGTATATGGGAAATGAAAAATTGTCTGTCTCAAGCCAGTTTCAGCTCCTCTCTTCACTGGGCACTTGTTACCCAGTGCATGCTAAGGTCAACAGATAGACAGCCTTTGATGTCAGGGGGAATCCTGTAGTTTTGGTTTTAATAGTTATGGGAGTTTTTCATTTGTTTTGGTGGGGTTTTTTGCTAATATACAGAAGATGGAAGTAAATCAAAGTGCAAAGATTGGAGTGTTTCACAGAATGGGAGGAAAGGACCAACATGATAAAGGGCAGGACTGGGGGAACCTAAAGTACAATGCTTATCTTTCATCAAGTCTCCACAAGGGTGGAAGGAAAATGGTACAAGACAAACCTTCTGAGATTCCCCTCCCTGAGCTGTAGTTTCGTAGCTAATATGTACAGGAGGTAACAATTTGCACTGTGAGAAATGTTAAAAAAAAAAATGCTGCTTAAAGGAGATAAATCGAAACCTTATTCCTGAAGAATATTCCCTAAGGACTGGGTGGGAAAAACTGCCTTACACTTCAGATTATTAGGAAAATTAAAACAGGTTGCTGGCAGCATGGAGGAGATGGTTTTCTGACACACTGACTCAGTGGACCACATGGAGGTGTAGCTACCTACAGCCTTTCAAACAAAGGCAGAGCTGAGCTGTAGCTTTAGCTGGTCAGTACTTGGAGGGGTGTGTGGCTGCAGAGGGCTGTGCAGGAGGGGCATCCTGCCCAACGTCCCGTGCCTAATACTGCACTGTGCCATCCTTCAGATCTGCTACATGGTATTATGGGAAGTGACTTCTTGCTTCCCTGAATAACTAGCATAACATGGGTAGCTCATCTCACTCACCTCATAAAAGTTCACACAGAACCATGGCACCTAACCAAGACAAATACAAAATTTAATGTTACTAGCTTTAATTTTTCACAAAGAAGCTGCCTGAAAGGAACATCCAAGTCCGTTTTCTCTTGTGGGGACCACTATACATCTAGAAGAAGGACTCCTTAATTATGAACTATTATAAATACGTTTTCTTTAGTGGCTATTGATAAGTTTTTAAAATCTAGGAGCTGAAGTTTTTCACTGGGGAAAACAGACTTGGGTCCCCAGTACTGGCATTCATCTTCACAACAAGTGATTCGTGGGGTCATGAATTAAAAAAAATAAGGTTTTTATTAAATATGAGGAAAGGAATTGAGACAGAATTTTAAGGCTTGGTTTACAAATAAACCCTGAACAGTAATTGTTTTACATTACAGTCACTTTCAAACAAAGGCTACTTTTCCCTACATACATAGGTTCTGTAAGTCACATGAAACCATCACGAAGCTTATTGGTGAAATCTTTTGCTATTCTAAAGATGAATGATATTAATGTCAAATTAAATAAGGGAGAGAAAAGTGGAGAAGTGGTACCTGCGAAGTGCCTGCAGCACAGTGGAAAAGCGAAGAAAATGCCGAGAAAAATGGGACTTCCAGCTGCTGGTAAAACGGCTTTGCAAAGCCCTGGAAAGCAGATCTGAACGGAACAGCACAGTGAGCAGCTATGGGATCCATGACATCATTATTCTGGTCTGCTCCTAAAACTGACACCAAGTCCTCTTCCCTCAGCGGAAGCTACTCTTGACTTCAGCCATAAACAGCAGCTCCGCCTTAGCAATGGAGACTCGTATTTACAATACACCTCAGCATTTTCCTTAAGCTGTATTAAAGGTGTACCTGATGTCATATTTCATCAGCTTTTCTAATTTTAAAGCGTGCTAAGTAATCGGGATCCATTTTTATATGTATACCGTAAGAAACCTGCCTTCCAAAAGATGCTTGAGACTCCTGTCCGGCGTCCGAGCGCAGCCTGCTCGGGGCAGGGTTAGGCTGTGCCCCAGGGCTGCCGGCACGGCACGGCACGGCACGGCACGACGGCGGGCAGCAGCGCTGGCCGCCAGAGGCGTTTCACGCCCCAGCTCTGTCGGTCGGTAGCACCGGCGGGGCCACGGTTGGCTCTGGGGGGAACGATTTTCAGCCACAGGTCCCAGGCGCTTCGGAGAGCCGTAACCCCTCGCTGGGAGCCCAGGGCTCGAAAGGACAGGCCCGCCGGGCGCCACAGGAGCTCCCGTCTTCCTGCTGCCCGCCTCACCTTCCTTCGAGGCCGCCTCAAGTCTGCCAGTGCCGTGAATTTAGCCCTGCCCGCGGCCAGGCTGGCTGGTCCTCAGCGTCTCAGTGCTGACACGGGGGTAGCACCTCCTGAAGGTCACCCCGACCCCCGGCACGGCCGGTTGAGGCGACAGCAGCTGCCCTCGCCGCCACCTTCAGGCGCTGC